TTTTTGATTGGAAATTTTTTCCCAAAATTCGTCGTCGTGGCGCAGTAAGTTGCGGGATTAGGTGTCCTGCACTGTAGTAAAATTTTTTAAGTAGTGAATGGTTACACACAATGTGCAAAAATTAAATTTCTCTTTTTTTACTTTTTTTTTTTTAAATGGAGAATAATAAAATTCAAACCACACTTAATTTCCCAATATTATACACTAAAAAAGCAAAAGAAAAAGTTATAATAGACTCAAATTTATCTAATGATAGTATAAATTTAGCACAAACTATTAACAAAAAATGCAAATTCATAGAGTATAATGATAATGATGATGATGGTTGTGTAGTAGAATGTAATAATAATAATGATAATGATAATGATTGTGAAAGTGAAAATAATGACTATACAGAAGATTTTTACTATGATCATTATAATTATTTGGATGATAATTATAATTATGATGATGATTATGATAGTGATTGTAATGATGATGTTGAAAGTGATGATGAAGTTAATGAAGAAGATGATGACAATGGTAATAATAGAGATACTTTACCTCCTTGGATAAGTATTCAAGAAAAACAATTATGACAAAATAAATATTTTTTAGAATTAATTAATCCAAAGCTTGTAAGGTGTATTTGTGGAAAACAAATTAAATTAGACTATGCATATAGGGAGAAAAATTTGGACTGGTATGAATGTTTATTTCATAATTTTCTGTAACAAAAAATATACTCACTATGTTTTTATATTTTAGTCATGGGGAAGCTAAGGAATGTACAAAAAATATAATAAGCATTTGTAAATTTTTTTCTATTGATAATTCACCAGCTCATTGCCATCAAAAAGCAAAAGCTTGCATTGGTCTTACTAATGAAAAAATCAAAAATTATGTAATGAAAAGTCCATCTGGATTTGGTGGTTCCAAAAGTATTATCAAAGCTGCTCAAACTTTGTTTCCAAATAAATTTTTTGAAGGTAATCCATTTTCTCATACAAGATTAACAGAAGAAGAAAATTTACAACTCCAACAAGATTTATGTATGTATGAATGCTAAGTGGTTATTGAAAAGGATACTTTAAATGTTAGAAGTACAAGTTGTTTTAAATTTACACCTGATGAATCACAAATCTGTTACAATTGTAAAAAATTAGAAAAGAATAAAAGATTCATAAGTGCTATCAATATGGTATATATATAATTTTTATTATTAATTTCATTCATAATTACTTATTAATAAATACTAAACAATAAAATACAGAAACATGCCACATCATCTACTTTTAAATATATTCCAAAACATTTGTTAAAGAATAAAATCTTTTCTCAACTAATGACAAATGAAAGTTTTCAAAATTTGTTTAGTTTAGCACAATCTGATAAAGAGTCAAATATGTGGGCACAATTAGCTGATTTTGGTAGAAGAGGGTAATAAAACATTTAGAGATCTAGTGGAACTTATGTTACAAATAAAAAAATTAGAAGCAGAAGGTAAAAGTAAGAAAGGGCTTAGATATTCAGAACATTTACATAATTTTTTTAGTCTTCTGTCAAATAGTAGTAGAGAGTATTTAATTTTTAAAAACATGTTGGCTGGCATGGATTTACGTTCTATTTGGTAAGGAACATCTTTTGATTGTTTATAACCATTATTAAGATTATTTATTAAAAGGTTTTTTTGTATTTAATATTTTTAATTATTATAGTTACTTACGTTCAAAAAATGAAGATCTTTTGACAAACCCTAATTTAACCTACGAAAATGTTGCTAGGTTTGC